GACGCCACCAAATACTGTTCGAGCGTTTCATAGCCTCTTGCGCTGAATCATAAATATATCCTCCCAATATCAACGAAATACGGCTTGCTGAGACTCTTGTCAAAACAATAGCGATTGGCCAGTGTATGGCAGAAGGTAGAGTTGGATGCATAGAGCCTCAAACTTTCACAAGAGACTCGTTGACCGGTCATTCTGAGTTCTTCAACGCTGCTTGATGGCTGACATAGAATTTACCTATAACGATCTACCATCTTTATGTCCCAATTAAAAAAACGGCTACCACTGTAACCTGCTTGAAATCACGGACAGTTTGACTTCTCATTGCATACACAATCTGCCCACTGTTGATTAGACATGAGTTGTTTGTAACATAAAGCTACAGCATATCCACTGGTTGGAAAGGACACGTGGTGCATGGTTTAAACATAACCTGGCGACAATATAATTTAATCATCGGCTTCAGCGACTCTCCGCAGTTAAAGAGAGTAATTTAGGTTTTTCTACCCATCGCAGAGCTCGTATAACGGTCAAGAGGCGTTTTAGGTATAGGTTTTTTTTGTCTTGGCATCGTGATAATTGAACATACTGCCAGAACCGCCATGTGTTATCGATTACGGCAGCGATAAGAAATGAACAGAAAAAAGTACTACAGCTCCAAAGAAGAAAACACGAGATCCACACGACTTCAGGAATTACGTAAACGACATAACAACTGCTTTCAGCCGGTGGGTCAGTTACGGTAACTTAATACATTGGTTAAATAATACCGACTGATATCCCCCAGTGATTCAATTAAATAAAGTCGCAAACATCGAGGTCCATAAAACCCCCTTCAGGGGGACGTGTATCCCACTTAGAATTCGAGCTTCTGCTAAATTCAATGTTCCAACAGGGAGAGTACATTTCATGCTGCAATCCATTTGCAGACGAGGCAGAAAAATTTCATGTTTCTTGACAGCCTATTTTTCATATAACTATTGGTCTTAATAAAATTTTGTCTACTTCAGTTTTCACATCTTCCGGGAAAACTAAACATTGCAACGCGCTAAGCTGCACGAAATCCTATGCAGCATAAACCATTTTCGTTTCAGCGCATTTATTGAATGTTGCAAGTAAGTTCCGCATCCTTGAAACTGGGAAGAAAAAATGCACACTTTTATAATGGTTCGCCTTACCTGATTGAAAATCACAAAAAAAACTTGAAACCTCTATCCGTTTGAGGCAAACATTCAGGGAGTTCTAACCCAGTAGTACCCTACACTCTGTCGCAGCAGCAGAAAAGTACACATACCTGTTTCATATCTGCCAGGTAAAGACTAAAAGGTAAATAACGTTCTGAGTACAGGTGGCGTTTTCTTTCGAGAAATTCCCATTGACTGCCTTTTACTAGCTGATGTGGATTTATTTTGCTTCTTAATAAACTTGTAGTGTTAACTTGCGATGAAATAGACTAGTAAAACGTTTTTAGGTCTGAATTAACGACATGGAACAGATCTCATTTGTGGTGGTAATGGTGGCGGTGGTTGGCAGTTATCAAAGTCGTCTGCTTGGAAGTACCAAGTTCGATTTTTGTCTGAAGGCAATCTTTATCTTATTCACGAAATCCCTTGAGCAACGAAATTACCACACACTGCTTCAGGCCGAGGTTGCTCAATTGGTGGAGCGCAAACTCAGAACCGATAAGACCTGAGTTCAAGATCAGGTCAGGGTTACTTGTGCTTCTTCCTTCCAAGATTGGTAAATGAGTACCACGCCGTGGGAAGGAAACAGAAGAAACATTCGCTGCGCTTGCCACATGACTGTAAACTCTGCTTCTAAAGTAAGGCATTCCTGCCCGATGACATAGAAACCGAGATCAGCATCGCACCATCAACTTCATGAAAAAAGGGCACAAAAACGGCCCAATCATGAAGTAGAAGACCGACTTCCAACGGTGATAAATGTTCTTTCTCTTTCCATTATCATGAGGGTTTTAGAAACCATATCTTCAAACTTGAGTAGCCATTATTAAATAACCGCTTGTGTCAAAAAGCATTTTCCACTCTGGCCTCCACCGAAGCGATACAACCCACTGAAACCTCAAAAAATGTGGCAAAATTCAGGAAACACGCATAAAGGTGAGACGTACGTTCCTGAAAATATGATAACTTTCGATAATAAAAA